CTTTCTGTCTGTCTGTCTGTCTGTCTGTCTGTTTGGGGTTGTGACCCTCCGGGGGACTCTGAAGGGCGGGTAATCCTGGGTCCCCGGGGAGCAAGGGGCAGGGACCTGGGACTGGCAGGGCTACGCGAGGAGGGAACCGGGATCTGGATGGCGGGGTTTGGGAGTCTGGATGGCGGGGTTTGGGGTCTGGATGGCGGGGTTTGGGGTCTGGATGGCGGGGTTTGGGGGTCTGGATGGCGGGGTTTGGGGTCTGGATGACGGGGTTTGGGGGTCTGGATGACGGGGTTTGGGGGTCTGGGTGACGGGGTTTGGGGTCCAAGGGCTGGGGCCGAACTTCCAGCGTCCAGCCCACAGCCAGCCCGGACTCGAGTTGGGGAGAGGCTCAGCGTGTAACCGAGAAAGAGACAGACAGACTGACCGCCGCGGGATGCCCACGGGATGGCGCTCTGCCGGGAAGGTGGTCCTGGCTGGGGGCGGGGGCGGGGGGGGGCCACTGGAGCCCGGATCGCGCTAGCCTTCGGGGTTGGGGGCGGTTCTGGGAGAGGAGCGACCAGGGGGGAAGAAGGAGTCCTGATCCTTTTCTTATAAAATCCCATTTGCAAAGCCAAGGGACGAATGCGTGGGAGGGGCAGGCCCCAAACCCTCATTCCCTTTTCTCTGGGTCTCGGTTACTGGAGCAAAACTGGTGGTTTGGGGGGATATGTCTCTGGCAGATTTAGGGTTTCCCCCGGAAGCCAGAGACGGGGAGTGGGGGCGGGGTGGTGGCCTCAGGAACCCCAGCAGGTACTTGGAGTAGCAAGGCCTCTGCCTTTTGTCCTGGGGGTCACCGTGAGACCGGTCACCAGGGGAACCGAGTTGGGTGATAGGCCCATCACAGGTGGCCACAAGGGGGCAGCAGAGGCCTCACCGAGGTCTGCGCTGGGGTAACCTTTCTCTTCCCGCCTCAGGGGAAAGCGGGGCCCACGTGCCACACAGACAGGGTCTCCCAGTGAGGGTCAGGCCCTCCTCCCTCAGCCCCAGGCCCCAGCCCCTCCCTCCCTGCAGAGTTGGGGGGCCGGGCCCCGGAGACAGGCCCTGGAATTGTCCCTCTCTGTGAGGTGACTCAGGAGGAAGATGTGAGGATGAGCGTGTTTTCTGTCCCCACCCCCTATACCCAGTCTCTCTCCAGCTTCCTTCTCTTCTAGGCTTTTGCACCTGCTGTTCCCTCTACCGTTCCCTCTCTTGGCGAAATTGCCCGGGACTGAAGGTCTCAGCTCCGTGTCCGCCCTGCCCTCCGGGATTCTGCTGGCTGTCCAGTGTCTCCTGGGTGGGTCCTCCTATCTCCTACTTCTTCAAAATTCTTTTTTTTAAAAAAATATATTTTGTTGACTTTTTACAGAGTGGAAGGGAGAGAGATAGAGTTAGAAACATCGATGAGAGAAAAACATCGACCAGTTGCCTCCTGCACACCTCCTACTGGGGATGTGCCCGCAACCAAGGTACATGCCCTTGACCGGAATCGTACCCAGGACCCTTCAGTCCGCAGGCCCACGCTCTATCCACTGAGCCAAAGCCCAGAGTCAGTGGGCACACTGTGCTGTTCATTCCGAGGACATGCGCAGAGCGACAGGCCTGGGAGCTGTCTGTAGCGCGTGCTCCCAGCAGAGGTTGCACAAGAGGATGCTTTGCCCCGGTGTCAGGTCCGGGCAGAACGGTGCCCAGAGGGCAGCCTCAGGCTCTGGGGCCCTGGAAGGGGGTTGGAGTCTCCAGGTGGGCGCCTGGGAGTGGGTGGGAGGGCAGCCTCAGGCAATTTATTTATTTGCAAAATCAAGCAAATAAGAGTTTATCAGTAGGAGCTGGTTCTAGGATTTAAGATAACAATCTAGCGGAAACCGGTTTGGCTCAGCGGACTGAAGGGCCCGGGTTCGATTCCGATCAAGGGCATGTACCTTGGTTGTGGGCACATCCCCAGTAGGGGGCGTGCAAGAGGCAGCTGGTCGATGTTTCTCTCTCATCGACGTTTCTAGCTCTCTAACCCTCACCCTTCCTCTCTGTAAAAAAATCAATAAAATATATTTAAAAATAAAAATAAAAGAATAAATACATTTAAAAAAAGATAATGGCCTAAACCGGTTTAGCTCAATGGATAGAGCGTTGGCTTGGGGACTGAAGGGACCTGGGTTCGATTCCGGTCAAGGGCATGTACCTTGGTTGCGGGCATATCCCCAGTGGGGGGTGTGCAAGAGGCAACTGATCTATGACTCTCTCTCATTGATGTTTCTAACTCTCTATCTCTCTCTCTCTTCCTCTCTGTACAAAATCAATAAAATATATTTTTTAAAAAATAAAAAAAGATAACGATCTATGTTAGATATCCAGGTATCTCAATACGTGTACATACACACATACTTACGTGTATAGGTGTCGTCTTAGCCTGTTCTGGCCGGTAAAACGGAAATACCACAGTCTGGGTGACTCACGGGGCAAGCATTTCTCTCTCTGAGTTCTGGAAGCTGGCAAGTCCCAGACCAAGGAGCGGGCAGATCCCCTGCGTGCGGAGGGCCAGCTGTTGGCTGTGTCCCCTCACAAAGGCTCCACCCTCACGGCCAAATCACCTTCCAAAGCTCTCACCTCCAAACACCATCAATTTATTTAAAAAACTTTTTAAAAAATATATTTTATTGATTTTATACAGAGAGGAAGGGAGAGGGATAGAGAGTGAGAAACATGATGAGAGAGAAACATCCATCAACTGCCTCCTGCACACCCCCTACTGGGGATGTGCCCACAACCAAGGTACATGCCCTTGACCGGAATCGAACCTGGGACCTTTCAGTCCGCAGGCCGATACTCTATCCACTGAGCCAAACCGGTTTCGGCTAAAAAAAAAATTTTTTTTTAAATAGATGTTTTCAGCCAAAACCTGTTTGGCTCAGCGGTAGAGCGTCGGCCTGCGGACTGAAAGGTCCCAGGTTCGATTCCGGCCAAGGGCATGTACCTTGGTTGTGGGCACATCCCCGGTAGGGGGTGTGCAAGAGGCAGCTGGTCGATGTTTCTCTGTCATCGATGTTTCTAACTCTCTATTTCTCTTCCTTCCTCTCTGTAAGAAAATCAATAAAAATAAATAAATAGATGTTTTCATTGCTTTCAGAGAGGAAAGGAAAGGGAGAGAGATAGAACATCAATGATGAGAGAGAATCATTGATAGGCTGCCTCCTGCACGCACACACCCTCCCCCCCAATAGGGATTGGGACTGCAACCTGGGCTTATGGCCTCGACCGGAATCAAACCTGGGACTTCAGTCCACTGGCTGACACACTATCCACTTAGCCAAATATTTAAAAAGAGAGTGATTTTAGACTTTAGATAACACCTGGATTTCTGGTTTCTCCTGAAAAGTTGATAAACTGGACCATGGGGACAGGTGACATTGTGCTCAGTGTGGCCTGGCTCTGATGACCCAGTCCCTGCCCCCTGATTGGCTGCCTGACTGTTCCCTGTGAGGGTCTAGATCGGGGGCCGGCCCTCCTGCGTTCTCTGCCATGTCCCTCTGGCAGCCGTGGGCACGTTCAGCTCTCCGGCTTCACCTCTGTTACCTGTAAAGCAGGGCTGATCACGGGACCTCACTCCCAGGGCTGTCCTGGGAACTGAGAGATTCAACAAAACTCCCGCTGAGCCTGCAGAACGTGCCTGGCACAGAGCATGCTGCCTGCACGTTATCGCTGCTTATCATGAACCTTGTCCCATTCCGCTTCTGGTGGCTAATCTACCTCCCTCAGTCATTTTGTTAACCTTCCCTCTAGGATATTTTTCCTATTGAATTTTTTTGGAGAGAGTCGAAGGGAAGGGGTGAGACAGAGAGAGAGAGAAACATCGACGTGAGAGAGACACGTCGATGGGTTGCCTCCCGCACCTGCCCCCCCCCCCGACCTGAGGCTGGGGATTGAGCCTGCAGCTGAGGTACGTGCCCTTAACTGGAATCGAACCTGAGACCCTGACGCTGTAACCACTGAGCAGAACTGGCCTGGGCCTCCATTTGAGATCTCTGAGGCCCTAGCATATTGGGCAAATGAAGCCTGGGAGAAGGAAAAGGGGAAAGGCGAGATTGGAGCTGGACCTGGAGTGGGAGGAGAGGGCGTGGAGAAATAGGGCACAGAGCGTTTCACTGACTGAGAGGAGGATGTGCAAAGGCCCTGGGGCAGCTACGCCCGAGTGCCTTCTAGGAACAAGAGAACCCTGCCTCCATCTCCAGCTTAGCAATTAGGAGCACTAGGTTAAACATGTGCTACTCACTGCCTCTTATAACCTTCTACCCACGCATCATATAATTTCATCAGTAAGAATTTCATAAATAAGCCAAAACCGGTTTGGCTCAGTGGATAGAGCGTCGGCCTGCGGACTGAAAGGTCCCGGGTTCGATTCCGGTCCAGGGCGTGTTCCTTGGTTGTGGGCATATCCCCAGTGGGGGGGGGGGTGGTGGTGCAGGAGGTGTTTGAAGAAAGGAGTGTCCCCTGTAGACTCTCAGAGCTGGGTTAGTTCTTAGAGAACTATCCATTCCTTCATCTGTTTATCAACTAGAGGCCCAGTGCATGGATTCGAGCACGGGTGGCGTCCCTCAGCCTGGCCTGCGCCCTCTCCCAATCCAGGACCCCTTGGGGATGTCTGAGAGCCGGTTTGGCCCAATCCCCTGCAGGCCAGGGTGAGGGACTAGAAATGCATAAAAGATATTTGGGTTAATTTCTTCCCACCCTCCTCCTCCCCCTTCCCTCTGAGATGTATCAGTTTGTTCCATGGTCCCATGGCTTTGCACTGAGCGTCTGCTCCCTCCAGTGGTCATTGTGCATCATAGCTACTGTCCGGTTGGCTGGTCAGCCGGTCACTGAGGCTTTTATATAGAGAGAGAGATAAATAGTCCGGCAGTATTCTAGGTGCCGGGGGTTCGCCACATGGTCTTTGCCCTGTGGCATTCATAGCCGTGGGGCAGCCAAGGTTATTAAATCAATGCAGACAGGAGCTTATG